GAGAGGAGGAGGAGGAGGAGGAGGAGGAGGAGGAGGAGAGAGAGGAGGAGGGACGAGTAGGATGAAAGGAGGTGGAGGAGGAGGAGGAGGGAGGGTGGAGGGGGAAGAGGATGAGGGGGAAGAGGAGGAGGAGGTGGAGGAGGAGTAACTGGAGTAACTCTTCAAGAGGGGGATGCGTCCGTGACGCACCCCCTCGCGTCTATTAGATTACACACAATCGAAAACCCTCACGCTCCCCCCCCTCCATCCCCCCGCCGCCGTCGGAAGTCCTTGACGTTCGATCCGACGACGGGCAGGAGGCGGGGGGAGGAGGAGGAGGAGGAGGAGGAGGAGGAGGAGGAGGAGGAGGAGGAGGAGGAGGAGGAGGAGGATCATGACAATGAGAAAGAGGAAGATGGACGAGAGGAGGCGCAGTCTTCGGGGACACCTCAATCCAAAGCGATTGTAGATCCTGCAACAGAAGCCCACGCGCTGAAGCACATCAGGCAATATTTCCCGCGTCTCCTGTGTTGGGTTCTCGTTTTGGATATTGTGGAGGCCCACGCCAAGAAACACCCTGCTTGCCTCCAAGGTGCCCTGGGTATCTTGGGTTTCGATTGTTTTGCCATGGAATGCGTGACGTTCCCACACCAAACATCGATGGACGTCCTGTGGTTTCAGGGTTGGGTTTCTTGTGGAAGGTTTCTTGTGGTCGGGCCCCCACTGTAGGGCACCGTGGTCACCACTTCCTCTCCTCCCCCCTCCTCCTGCACTGCTCCTCCGCGGCTCCCTGGGTGGCTGTGAACTGCGCCACCGTCGCCACTGTCGTGGGCTCCTGGGAGGTTCAGCGGAGTCGGGGGGCACGCGCACCCAGACGAGACCTCGCTGCTCCTTTTGAGGCTGCGAGCTGCGCAATTGTCACCACGTGTGTGTGTGTGTGTGTGTGTGTGTGTGCTCCTGGGAGGTCCAGCGGAGTCGGGGGCCATGCGCACCCAGACGAGACCACGCTGCCGCCACTTTCGTTGGCTCCTGGGTGGTCCAGCGGAGTTGGGCGCCAGACGCACCCAGACGGGACCTCGCTGCTCCCTGGGTGGCTGCGAACAGCGCAACTGTCACCACTTTCGTTGGCTCCTGGGAGGTCCAGCGGAGTCGGGGGGCACGCGCACCCAGACGAGACCTCGCTGCTCCTTTTGAGGCTGCGAACTGCGCAACTGTCACCACTTTCGTTGGCTCCTGGGATGTCCAGCGGAGTCGGGTGCCATGCGCACCCAGACGGGACCTCGCTGCTCCCTGGGTGGCTGCGAGCTGTGCTAATTTCGCCACTGTCGCTGGCACCTGGGAGGTCCAGCGGAGTCGCGGGGCACGCGCACCCAGACGGGACCTCGCTGCTCCCTGGGTGGCTACGAACTGCGCAGCGGGCGCCACTTTCGTGGGCTCATTGGAGGTCAAACGGAGTCGAGGGCCACCCGCACCCAGAGACCTCGCGGCGCCCAGCGAGGCTGCCAACTGCACACCTGTCGGCATCTTCGTGCGCCAAAGAGATGCGTGTACGTCAACGTGTTCGAAAAGAGCACACCGTTTAATAGTCGCCATGCATGGAGAAGGGGTTGGGCACGCCTTGGGTAGGCTATGTATTGTGGTTGCTGCTGTGCTGACGTTGTGTTGACCCGCATCAGGCAGTAAGCTACGCTCACTCTGGCCTCAGAGCTGGGGACTCGCCGTCCCATCTATTTTGACAATACTTGGTGTGACGCAGGTCGGGGGAGGGGATCCAAGATCGTGAGGCGATGGAGGGGTGGCGAGGACGGCGGAAAGGGGGAGGAGAAGAGGGAGCAAACTGGGCATGATCACGCCACACCAAATTTCATACCATTCCGCCCACCCCTTCCAACCTTGTGCGCCTCCAGTGCCTCCAGGGCCGCTGACCAAACGTATAGCTCTCCGTTCGCCGAGCTTGGCGTTCAACCCAAACTTGGTCCCTAGATGGCACCTGCACTGCTGCGACTCTCGTCTGTCATCAGAGAGACGGGGACCCTCCCGTCCGTCCACCCTCCTCGTCCTCCTCCTCCGACGCCTCACATGCTGGGCTGCCGCTGCCTCCGACGCCCCCGCCAATGCCTGATGGGCCAGTCTTCCACCACCGCTACCAGAAGTAGGACGGGGTAGAAGGGAGGACGAGGAGGTGCTCCCATTCGCCCTCCTCCTCCTCCTCCCCCTCCTCCTCCTCCTCCTCCTCCTCCTCCTCCTCCTCCTCCTCCTCCTCCCTCTCCTACCTATGGTCGTGGTGGAACATGGGCCCATCAGTGCCCTCTCCTGCCGGATGGAGGGGCAGAGCTGGAGACCTGCACGAAGCAGCCAGGCCATCGCATCGCAGCCCAGACAGGCGAAGGCTGGCAAACCCGTAGCTGCTAACACGGAGCTCCGGGAAATTGTTCCCCAATCTCGGGGATGGACAGACCTCCCTTTAGTAAAACGTGGTTTAGTGAAAACGACTTCGGGCCCAAACCTGGCGGGCGCAAGCCTGGAAAATAACAGCCACGGCGCCCTCTCGAAAACCGAAAACGGACAATTCACTAATCGACGTGTCACTGTTGGGGGTTCTGTCCACCTCCGACAATCGGTGCTTGCACTGAAGGGGTCCTAGCGGATGTTGAAAGAGTTGGCGAACAGTTCCCGCCGATGTTGGTGGCTGGCCAGTGGCTGGCTGGGTTCCCGGGTTCCCAGGTTCCTGGTTGTTGGTTCCGGGCCGATTTCGGTGGGTTCCGGGTTCCTGGGTTCCCGGTCGATGTCCTTATCGATCTCTTTATCGATCCCATTTCAAACCATCCACTGATTGGGATTTTCTCTGGTGTATATTACTATTTAGCGCGCTGAGCTGTACCCCTTCATCTCTAGCCGTGCGCCTCGGAACAGATTCAAACATACCTGAATTGTCGGCCAAATGGGTGTAAATACCAGCTGCGTTCCGCAACCAGCTCCCAGCAGTGTGTGCTGCGCGGCGACAAACAGGGAGATAGGGAACGGAGAAGACGGCGAACGCGCTGGCGGGGGGCCAAGGCTGGCGGAACGAAGCACGCGGTCGGGCAGGCGTCCACGCCGCAAAACGGCGGCCCAGGTCGCTGTCTCAGTGGACACTGTCCGACATTGGCGGCTGCTGCTGTCAAGCAGACGACGACGCTGAATGCTCTATGGGCAACAACGCCTTCGTCTCTCCCGCCGTCATCGCAGCCACTTCAACCACTGCACGTCGTCGTCGCCGTCATCCTCATCGCATGGCCCCCGCAACACCGCTACTGTAACCAACGCCACCGTTGCTTCCGGCCGCATACTCGATAAGAGGCCTTCTTTGGGAGGTCCTTCGGCAGCGTGTCGGGGTTGTAGAATACGACCTGCGCGCATGACTTGGGCAACGAGATCTATGCCCTAATCGCGCCCCTGCCCCTCCCCCCCACAGGCCCCCTCCAGGATTGGCACGGTTTAGAGGCAACGTTAGGGGTGACCTCGAGCTGGAATCGGCGATGCACCGCCGACAGATCGGCGGTATGCCCCCGACAGCGAGTCCGCTCGTTCCTGGGCCAGGTGGGGCGGTAGGGCCCCTATCGGCTATCAATGGGCGACTGGGGGTAGATGTGATTCCCCTCGAGCCCATCCCCCCAAACGTTGCCCCCTGGTTTTCGGGTCATAACTTGGCTTTCCTTCGGGACGATCAGGGCCCCCCTGGAACGCTCTCAGCGAGGCGCAACGTCTGGAAGTCATCCCGAGGCTGGGGAACCGTCGAGAACCTACGGAATCATCCGAAGACACCGAGCCCCGAACCTCAAACCCGAAACGTCCCGCCCCTTGCCCCTGACATGCTCTCCTTGAAATCTTGTCAAGGGTGCAGAGGCTCGAATTCTGAGACGCTCGAAGCCGTGCACATCCTGCGCGCACCAAATCCGCGGACCCTTCGTCGTCGTCTTGGTCGTCTTGGTCGTCGTCATTTTCTTGGTCGTCGTCGTTTTCGCCAGTCCCTCCAAAAAAGGAACGACGAGAGAAAAAAACGTTGTAGTTAAGTCGATTCCCTCCCCTCTTTCTTCTCCCTGACGGCGGGTTGGCATGGGGGACTGTTGCAGGCCCAAAAGGCAGAACAAAACCGTGGCGCTCAGCAAAGCGCGGGCCAACGTGCCCTGGCCAACGGCCAAAGTGGCCAACGGCCAACACCAAGGGCACACGCGCAAAAAGAGGGGATCACGGACACAAGCTGGGACCTGACCTCCGGCCTCCTTTCCTTGACTAACTCCCAATAGCGCCAGAAACGCTGTGCCTTAGGGAGGAAATCAAGGAAAAGAAAGCAAAACCA